AAAATGCTTTCTAGTGCTGCTTTTTCTACCTGTAGGGAAATTAGAGCCATTTGGCACAACTGTTAGATGAAGAAGAACCATAAAATCCTAGACTCACTTTCTGTGATGGTAGCTTGCATAGTAACATTGATTTTAAGTGTAAAATTATGGTAAACATAGTAAGTTATGGTAAGCATCAGTCCTTCACTTTTGTATCTAATCTATTTATCTACCTATCTAGAGCATTGTGCAAGAAAGCATCACTATATTTCCACTGTCGTTTGTCTGTCCCTCAGGGGAAAAAAAAAGTCTCTCCGTATGACTCTAGGGCTTAAAAGTAAAGAGAGAGACAGAAATAACAACAAAACAAAGGAAAACATTCAGGAAAGAGAAGCAAATGATTTCCTGTATTAAATAGGTAGCAATTTTCATATAATTTTCTTATTCCTATTTTATAAATGAGAAAACCTACAATTAGAAAATAGCCCTTCATGAACTTAAAAAATTTTCTCTTCTATGTAGGTGAGGCAGAAGAGTCAATCAAAGGCAATATAATATTTCAGAAAAAAACAGACCTGTTTGTCAAATCTGCATTGGTTGCTGCTTATAATCTAGCTGTCTTTGCCAGTAGTACGTTTTGGATAAAACACAGAACTGGGTCTATGTTAAAATATTAACAAAGTAAGGAATGAGAGTTGCTAAATTCTAAGTAACAGTTTGCCTACCTGCAAAGACTAAAAAGTTTATAGATGTTACATATGGTTTAAGAGAGAAACTATATTTTTGGTTGTTTCTTTGTTCCTTGAGTTAAACTATTAAAATGTTGTGAAAAATAATGTTTCACGTAAGAGTGAACTAACTAAAACATCCTGGAAGAGCTGTGCTTGCTTTTTTCTGTCAAAGTCTTTCCAAGCTTAACAATCACAAGAAATAATTTTCTTGATTTCATGGGCTAATACATAATTTATTTCACGTAAGGTAGAAAACCACTAAAAAAGACCACTGTTTCCAAATTGCAGTTTATTTTGCACCTGTAAGAAAGCCACTGACAATTAGGATCATTACTGTTTAACCTCAGTCAGTTACTAGTCAGCTAAAAGCATAGGAGGAAAAATAGGTGTTGATATTCAGACCTGAATAGATTGTTCAGATATATCTCCACTTCCTGATGTAATTCCACTGAATGCCTCAATCAACTTACTGGGGAGGACTTCATCTATAGCATAAAGCTGTAAACCTCCTGAAAGACAAGAGTAAAATAATTAGAAATATTAATTTTTTACTCTAAAAATGGTAATTTTTATGTGACTTCTGGAATTGAACAGTCAACTAAGACAATTTGTTAATAAGTTGAAAAACTAAATTTACCTTTTTAAATGCTTTAATTCATGCATCATGGTAAATTCATGTAAAAATCAGTTCCAGCTTATGCGATGAACTCATTTTATCCCCCATTGGCATAGTTGGCCTAAAAATCACACCCCTGCAGCATTTGATCAAGTACAGCATTTTTAGACTGTGTGTATTGCCTTTGGATTTTAAGTTGTGTATTATCCCTTAAATGACATTCTGCTTGGAAAATATCTCTGTAAAAGTAACATTGTGGCATTCCATGATTTGTGGCTCTTAGAGATCCACATCACCTCTGTTTATTTAATAGTGTCAAGTTGGGATCTCTTTACATGCATACTGACTTCACGCAACCCCAGTCCATTGGAGGTTCTGGTACTCAGTGCAGATTTGTTAATTAATTTATTGTGAATGTTTTCATGCGCTCTACTAAAGCATGTGCACTTCATGCATTTGCTGCACTGAACCTTCTTTCAAACTGAGCTCTGACGTGCCAGACACAAACTGAGCCATTGCTGTGCGCTGAATGGAGAGGGCACGGGAATCCCATGTGGGAGAGAGGCTGCTGTGCCAGGCCAAACCTTGGGGAGATACCCAAAATGTAGCATCTGCCCTCACAGCCCCTCCGTGCCATGTAACGCTGCTCACCCCCATCCCTCACACACAGACGCACGTGCGCAGGCAGCGCGTCTCAGATGCATGGCTCTGTCTCATGTGGAGTCATACATGCTGGCAGAGGCATTAGCTCAGGCATCTACACAGTATCTTTGGAAATTTGATTTTTGTTGCTAAGTGAGGAGACCTACTGGTTGCCATCTACCTTCTAAAGGACCATCTGAGTTCTTTCTGGCTCACTGTTAATAAATACTCTACAATGGGAACATAAATAACCAATTCTGTCTTAAAATACAGGCCAGAACAGAACTGAGCTCTGAACTCTCCCATAGTCACGTTGCTCCAAAGATGTAAAAGTATACAAAGGCATTCCAAGTTATTTAAATTACTAAGGCAAGTGAATATGTTTGAAAATTTACAGCACGTGCACCTCTCAGGTGAGACAAGATTTATTCACCATATCTGTCTGGAATCAAACTGCATTCTAGATCTACCCAAGGAGTTTGCAATCTCCCACAGCATTTGCAGGTACTGTAGCATGAAGCAACACTCTGATGGATAGTTTTCAAATAGTTCTTTTAAAATTAACTGGGTAGCACCGGCTCAGATAACAGCTATGCTTGCTAATGGCACGGGTGGTAACAGTGTTTAACATTTCCTAATAGCGCACTTCAGCTGCAACAGTTAGAGAAAATTATTATTTACATAACAAATAAATACTTATAAATTCAATAAAGTTCTAGTCATTGCATGCAATGCCACAAATAAAATTCTAGTCATTGCAGAACGCTTCTTACACTTCTTTTTGTATGTTATATAGCAATGTCTTAATTAAATCTCTTTAGTAATAAGATATGGTCATGTTACTGTATTTTTTAAATCAAAACAGCTAAAACAAAACTAAGGGTCTTAAGAGTGCTGCTTGCTTGCATTAAAAAAGCCTGTTGTGAAAACTGAACTTCTTCAAAATTAAATTTAAAAAATATATATTTATTAAAAATCAAACATTTAATTTTCTAGAGGCATTAATTGCTCTTATTTTACATTTCCATATACTTGAATATGCATGCCAGAAAAAGTTTATTTAGAATATTTACCTGTCATACTTGAAAACTCATCTAATTCTTTAGCTGCGTCAGGCCCTAATGCAATGGTGTGAATTATTGCCCCACTTTGTTTCACATCATCAAAGCATCTTGCAATATTCGAGTCTTCTCCATCAGTCAGCAGTACAATTTCAGAACCGTATGTAGTTTGGAATTTATTTGTAATCACCTGAATTAAGAGAATTCAAGATATTAGCAGCAGAATAATTTTAAATCATAGCTTATCCCAGAGCTTAGTCAACTTATGCATTCAGCAGAACTGTGTTAGCTTCAAATGCAAGACAAATTTATTCTTTAATACATGTTCGAGTTTTTATTTAACACTAAAACTATTATGATATTATTACAATTGATACTGAAACATTTAATCACTTATAACTAGTGAGTGTTAAATTGTAATAAATGTTTATTGTATATTTGCCTGGAAAAGAAACCCATCCCAAATTGAATATGTCAGAAATATCCTGCCTGGTTATGTTTGCCAGTTCAGGGTATGGATGTTTAAGGGCAACATATTAAAACTCTACATATGATATCTGGAACTACTACTCTTTATTCTCCACCCAAAATTTCAAGAGTAGATAAGGAAAGACATAGCCCCAAGGGGGACTTGGGGTAGGTGAAGGGAGGGAGACTCTTGGTGGTGGGGCAGGGGGGCACTTGTGGGGAACGCCTCTGTCTCTGGCTATTCCCTCCCTGTCTGGATGCCTTCCTGCCTCCTGGTCTCCCCTGCCCTGAGCCTCCTCTCTGCCTAGGACTCCCAGCAACCTCAGCAGTCTCGTTATTCTCCGTAAAACTTCTTTCTTTCTTTCTCTTCCCTTCTCCTACACATTGCCACTGATTCACAGACATGCAACTGAATTAGGTGACATCTGCTGAGTTTTTCAAAGACTCCCAGCCCCAGGAAGTAAAATAGACAAGAATAATATCTATCCATTACTACTCTTCCAATCTCAGGATTTTTATGCAGTTTCATAGTTTTAGGGGTTTGATGCATGACTTGTGAACCCTGGGAATTAACAATATTACTGCTGCACGGCTTCCCTTTTCAACACTTACGTACTCTATATGTTCATTGTGATGAACACATATGTTTGTGTGGGAAGCCCATGTTCA